TCGGTGACACAATCAACACTCTTGGTACCAGCAGTCAGAAAACCAAAAGACAAATTGCACTGGGATAATCTGCTGTCAGGGACCTCTTCAGAGTGCTGAGCAGCAACGATGTCAGTCTAGAGACTAAGGTGCACCTAATCCAGGCCATGGTCTTCTCAATTACTTGCTATGCATCAGAGAGGTGGACAATGACTAAGGATGACAGAAGAAGAATAGAAGCCTTTGAGTTGTGGTGCTGGAGAAGAGTCTTGACCATACCATGGACTGCCAAGAAAACAAACAAGTCTGTCTTGGAGAGGATGAAAGCAAGTCTCTCCTTAGAGGTTAGGATTATTGGCACGTGGCCAGGAGGGACTGGTCCTTGGAGGAGGACATCATGATCGGGAGGGTGGAGAGACAGCGCAGAAGAGGAAGACTGTGGATGAGATGGATTGATAGAGTATCTGGGGCAATGGGAGTAGGTGTGTCAGAAATAGTGAGCCTGGCTCAGGACAGGACAGGCTCCAGGGCTTGGTACATGAGGTTTCTATGAGTTGCAAGCTACTCGATGGCACATAACAACAACATACACAATCAATTCAGCTACATTAGATCGTAGTGAGTGTGGCCTGGGAAATAGAGGAGAAAGAACAGTACTAACTGCTGCGTTAGACAGGGTGCTCTGGTGGCACAGCCCATCAGGCGCTGCGCTGCTGACACCAAAGCAAATTCCTCTCTGGGAGTTCGAAGCCACCAGAAGCTCTGCAGCAGATGGGCAACCTCCTCCCCTGGGATTTGCTCAGGAACCCCGTGGAGGCACAACTGTGACAGCAGTGGGTCCTGACAGAGTGATCTGGGAGCTTTCTGGAAGAGGTGACAGACACCTTGATCTTAGGACCATAATTTTTCAGCTGTGTGAATTATCAGGAGGAAAACATAAGAGGTCCCGATGCAAAAAAAAAAAAAAAAAGCCAAAGAAATAGTTTATCATTTCTGAGAAATTAAGATGAAACCATGGTAATGAATATGAGATTTATTCTAAGTGCAGTAGAAAGCATAAAGCAGGAAAGTGCAATGATCTAATTTACATTTTGAAGAGATTACACTGACTGTTCTGTGAGAAATGGCTTGGAGCCGGCTGAGAGGAGAAGAGGCCAGGTAGGAATGGAAGGTGGAGGGAAAACGCATCTTCCTCTCAGCAGGACATTGGACAAGGTTCTAATTACTTTGTTAGGAGCAAGTAGTAGAATCAGGGATTATTTCTAATCTGTTTGGGTGAATCTGTACTTGGTAGGAGGAGAAATTGCAGAGACTATCGATGTAACAGCTGATCTCATTTCCGTGGAAGTTCTCCAGGAGCAGGCCTCTCTGCTGTGGTCAACATGCTGTGTCAATTATTTGAATGGAGACGCGCTTATCAGATTTTCTGCTGACTCTAAATGTAAGAGGCCAATCAATATGTCAGACGAAAAAGATTTAAAATAATTTCAACTGTGATAGAACAAAGGGTCAGTGTTCAGAAGGTGAACTTAAAAGGGTAAATATGATATTCTGAATTTAGGTTAATAAAATAACATGGTCTGTAGCTTCAGATTAATAGAAATACATGGAAAATCAATCCTCAGATTTTAGATAATCGTATGTTCAGAAAAAGAAGCTTACAATATGAGGTAGATACTTTGAAAAAGCAAAGTGGGTACCACTGTCAGTCCCATCAATTGAAGAGGCTCATGTGGACTGATGCTAATGGTCCCAGTGTCCTCTGCAAAGGTCATGGCCCATGCACAAAACACACAACTTCTAGATACTCTGTTGGTAAGTGCCATCCAGTGAACTACAGCTCACAGCAGCCCTATGAACAAAGGACCCGAAACCTACCCTCTCCTGCACCGTCCCCGCCTTCCCTAATACACTCAGGTCCACTGCAACAGTCATCATGTTGATCCTTCATGTTGAGGTCGTCCTCTCTTTCACCTACAGGCATGATGTCCTTTTAAGAGCGCTGGCCCTTCCACTCAACCTGTGAGATGGCGTGTCACCTCCTTGCCTCAGAGAGCACTGCAGTTTTACTGTTCTCAGTGCTCTTCTCCAACACTACAACTCTAGGGCATTGATGATTCTTCTGTCATCATTGTTCAATTTCTGATGCACAGAAAGTAACTGCAATGACCATGGCTGGACTCGGGCACTCCTTAGTCTTTACATGGAGGCTTCTCAGCACCTTGGCAAAGTCTTTGACAGCAGATTTCCCAGATGCTAAGCATTTCAGCGAACTGTCACTTTAAAGGGTAAATATACTCCATCAAGTGTGTTATGAAGAGGACTGTGGACTAAGAACCCAGGAAAGAAAAGAATTACAGGAAACACATGGGATTGTTCTATTACGTGCATAAAATCTAAGCAGCATCCTGGGGACAATCTTGCAGGAGACCCTGGCTGGAGCCGCAGCCACCGCACCTTGGGCAGAACCCGTGAGTGGACGCTGGCGTGCTGTCTGGAGCAGTAGTATCCATAGAGCTTCCAGACTGACTGATTAGGAAGGACAACCTACAACTCTTTAGGAAGTCAGCCAGCGGAACCCCAAGTATTGCAACGGTCCAGTCCACAGGAGACCTTGAGGATGGTATGAGCCAGGTATGACTCTCCATTATGCAGGGGTGTGGGTGCCATGAGGGGGCCACCCGGTGGCTGCCAACGTCCACCAGCTTCACGCAGTAAGAGGAAAGGGTGAAAATGACGGAACCAACCTTAGGGTTTCGGACCAACTTCATGACAGAGATTTTGAGCTGTCTGTTTGTCTTTTCAAACTTAGGGCAGTCAAGCTTTGTGATGACAGTATGAGCTTCCTATCACCAAAATATTTCAAACTAATGACTGCAGCCAGGGTTTCAGAGGGTGGCAGGACACAGGGCAGGTAAGGGAGCTGCAGCCCGCCTCAGTAAAGTGGGAGGGCTTTTCCTTTGCTTAAACTTTTCTATTTCAGATGCAGTCCTTAAATATGAGAGCCTGTCTTTTGTCTATGAAAATTGCTGTGCTTTGTCTAGTTTTAAGAGGCAGTAATTTGTGTTTAAATGTCATGGCTTAGAATAATTAAAGTTTAGTAAAGCTTCATCAGTCTCCATTTTTTTTGTTGTTGTAACTAAATATTTCTTACAGAATAAAATCTAAAAGTCCAAGAACTACTAGATTAACTGAATTCTGAGGGTTTTTTTTTATTCCAAGAGTCTATAACTTGATTATTTTCTACAATTAATCAAGCAAGATGCAACTGCCATTGCTAAGAATAAAGAAATAGGTAAGTGTAGATATCAGATGACATTAAATCACAAAAATAAGCAGTTTGGTTCTATAGCATGTAACCAGACACATTCTCCTCCTAGTCTGTGTACCTGATAATGTTAGGAGACACGATCCTGGACTCCCACATAGATACATTACCTAGAAAATTCTTTGTCAATTCCTAAAATTGTAATACTAGATTAAGCACTGGATATTAGGTATATTGGATGCCAAGTTGCAGAGAGGATTTTGTTAATGAGAGTATTCAACAGTGTTACTATCAGAAGACTTTGCAATTATGGAAACCTTTGGTGTTAATGTACTGTTATATGACTTGGGATTTTATGCAAGTAAACATATAATCATATGCAAATTCATAAACCCTTAAAAACGTAGCTGATCATCAATCCTCAAAGGCGCCTGCACTCAAATGAATACCCAGTGCTTTCTTGCCTCTTTTTTTTTTCTTTTAATCTTGCTATTTCTAAATTCTACTTTCTTTCACATGCTCTTGGACTGTTATTAAATATTAGACTTAAGAGAGAGTTATTTTTAAAAAAGTTCCAAAATGAAATTATAGAAGGTTGATGACATTTACATTTTGTTTTTTAAATTTTTTTGTTATTACTGTAGCTTAACATTTTTCAGTTCCATGAAAACAAAAACAAAAACAAGATACAAACCCAAACCACACACACATATACACATACATAAAACATCCACCCAATCAAAAACAACCCCAAACCGAAAAAGCAGAGTATTAAAGAAAGAATCAATTTACTATCCTAGCTTTCTCCAGCTTTGCGCTTTAAGGTTTAAGCATTTATTTTTTTTTCTTTTTTATTGGTCTCCCTACAAAGCTCATATACTTTATGCTTCACACTATTCCTCATTCATATTGTATTTCATACAACCTCATGCATTATGTTTTATAAAATTAATCACTATTGGACCTCGCCCATCTCTACCCTGTCTCTTCACCTGGATCGTTCCCATTTCCTTCCCCCTCCCCATCCACCAAACTGGGCAACCCTGCACTTTCACTCCTACTCATCCTCTCTCCTCTGATCCCACGCCTGCCCGCCTTGGATTTCCATACATGTTTTACTAGTTATCCTTCTATTTTTACAATAATGATCTTACACAGTATTTGTCCTTATGATACGGAGTTTATTCACTCAGCATAATTGACCGTTAAGTTCTTTGCAGCTCTATACTTTTATACACACTCCCTTTGGAATGTGTCACTCTGTAATGTATACATAAATGTATGTTGTTGTCCTGTACCTTGGAGTTGATTCTGCTTTATGATAAGTCTATCGGACAGAGACCACCACCCCATGGGGATTCTAGTATTTTCTCATTTTATGGAAGAAGACTGCCTGGTGTTTCTCCCTTAGAGCAGCTGGTAAGTTGGAACTGCTGACCTGGTTACCAACCCTGTGCTTAGTCTCTGTGGTACCAGGGCTCGAACAAATTTGTGTGCGAATTTGAGTGTGTGCAGATGTATGTATGACTGAAGCATCACATAACCATAATCAGACTATCTCAGTCTCTATAAAACCAGAAGCATGACATCTTCTCATGCAGAATTACAATTTAACCAACAAAAAAAAGACACAAAATATGAGAAGGGTAAGGAAGATCATGTGACACATAAAATGCGTTCAGTTTATAAGAAGTCTCTGGAAGGCACACTGGTGCAATCTTAACATCTGCACCCTGATATGACTGCTACTTACAAGCAAACCGAAGCTCGGCTTCCCTGCTCACAATGGTTCCGAAGGAGTTGGTCGCTCTGCACTGGTACGTTCCAGCATCTTGGGTTTTATTGGGGTTATTGATCAACAAGCTGCCTTCAACAACACTGTAGCGGAAATCCATACCAATGTCAACATCTGTTCCGTTTAACTTCCACCTACAGTATAAAGACGACAGTGGATAAAGCTTTATAATATTAATCAATACTTCTCAATTGTCTAAAAGATATAAAAACTATAATAAATAGCATGAAATATTACTCCTGCCTTTCTTTGTTTTGTTTTTTTTTTTTCACCACAGTGCGAAAAAAGAGGCACAGACATACTCAGTAGTGGTGACATCATAAATGTCTATGAACAGAGTCCATCTTTTCACATAAGCATTAAAATTCCAATAACTGCTTTTATGACTATAGTAGATGCTTGTATAATTGTTTCACTTTCTCTTGAACATCCCACCGTACGATGTATATCTTTCTCCTACCAGGACTCCTCAGGGCATCTCTCTGCTGGCTCATGGTTGTTTTTTAAATGGGTAACAGATGACAGAACCCACCTTATTTCTGGACATATAAGGGAATTGCAGCTGAGTTCCTCTGACTTGGTTCTAAATAAGACTAAACTGGTTGAATGCATATCAAAAAAGCTCTATTCATCTGGAACTGTCTCGGGGACTAGACTGGTCCTAATCACGGACCACTCTGATGCCTCCTTATACCGATACTCTAACATCAGTCAAAAACCACAGTGATCTGCTGGTTAGGCCATGAAGTAACAGAACCCAAAATAAAACTCTGCTTCCCTCTTATTTGTTTACTTGGGTCACAGGTGTATCTGACTCCAGTCCTGAGTTCAGTAAGTTCGTTTCCATAGAACACACACGTTTCAACCGGCAAAGCGTAGTCAGCAACAGGTTTACATTTTTTTTTAATATCTAATAAGATTCCAGAGGGGAGAGCTTTTCTTAACCAAATTGCCTTCCAAGAAGTCATCCGAATGCTTATGAACTCTCGAGCAAATACAATTCAATAAGCTTCTATCTTACGTTTTAACCCCCAAATCTGCCGCGGAATATCAGCAACTGGAGAGAAGCACCAGCATTACGGGGAGTTTCACCACATTCCCACTGGGAGGTGAAAACAAGGCAACGCTGCAGTATCAAGGAAATCGATCCAAAGCAGTAGAAAGAATGAACAAAATTAGAGATGTTCATCTTCTCTCCTTCAAACAGGGAAGCTTACCACTTCGATGTGTGCACACACTCCCCTGCACGCTCTGCTGGTACAGCACGGGGCCCTACAGTGGGGTGTCAGACGTGGTGCTGGCTTGGCTGGAGGACGGTCCATCTCATGCAGGGGTTCTCGGTTCAATTCCCGGCCAGTGTTCTTCACAGACAACCACCATTCCTGGGACAAGCTTGCAAGATGCTCAAAGCGGAACAGGTCTCAGGGGGACTGATCCCTCAGGGGGACTGATCCCCAGAGCAACATGTTGGGTGTGCACGATGAAAATCATTGAAATGGAAAAATGTAGGTCAGCTAGTTTCAAAATTTAAAAAAAATGGTTTCGGCGAGAGCAGAATGTGCTCGCTTTCTCTCTGTTGCTGCTGCTGTTGTGTGCAGACTGCGGGAACTCACTCACAGTGGACCCTCCAGCAGGTTTACATCGGGAGAGAGGAGACTGCCCATCTTTCTCCAGAGGAGCAGCTGGTGGCTTCAGGTCACCCGCCTTTGGGTTGGCAATGCCACTCCTTACCCAACTCATAATAACTGCACCTTCCCATGAAGCCTTCTTTGATATTTCTAGTGACACACAGCTCAAAACCCCCTCCAATCCCTGCCGATCTCATCCTACTCTTCCACGTGCAGTTTCTGTCTTCTCTGTAGTAACCAGTTCAAGGTCAAGTCTCTCCAACAAAAATCAAGTGCCTTATGACCCAGGAGTGGTTGTCTGCTGTTGTCTTCTCCTTGACTGAAGCTGCGGGAATGGCCAGTGTGCAGGGTAAAAGCTGCCTGACCCACACGTTTGCAGAGATTCCGACCCTCTGGCTTATAGTCAAATTCCCAACTGTGCATGCCCCCAAAACTCCCTACAGATAGTGCCCGATCTCAGTCGTGTGTGTTCGCCTTCGAGCCGCACAGACCCTGTGCTTCTACCATCGCAGACCCTCACTGAAATCAACTCAAGAAATCTCTCACTTCTTTGCTAGCCACCATCTTTCTGGGCTCTGTTGCACACACAATTTCAGGTGCATTCCAGCCCATCAAAGCAGCCTCTGATCATGGCTATGATCTTGCCTGAAAAGGAAGAGTTTCAAAGCTGAGGGTGGGTGGTGGGCCAGATGATGAAATCACTCTCCACGTGCTTGCTGGTGAGAAGGTGGGTGTCAGACCCTGACATTTTCCCCAGGCCTGACAGTAATTCTCCCTGTGTTCTGACACCGACAAGAAAGTAATCAGCAACAAAGAGCAAACAGCAGGGTTATATTCTCGGAGCTCTGTCCACACATGAATCCCCAGCACTGACTGTCCACCCCAGAGCTGCTTCTGAGTCAGCTGATCACGTCCCAGCCATAACTCTCACATCAAATGATCGTGGGGCAATTTAATAGGACAAATCTAAAAATTCAAAGAGGAAATTGCAATCTAACGCGAGCTGCAAGCAGAGTGTGGAATTTGGGAACAGGACCACGAGTGGCTGTGTTAAAGTGGGGTGAGGATGACGAGAACTTTGCATGCTGCCTGTCAGCTCGGTAAACGCTCTGCAGTCAGTTCATCTACTTTATTGTCTGCTTTTACATACACAGAGCAAAGGAAGAAGGAGCATTTAGAACGTAAAGTGCTTTCCTTGACATACAGCTGAGTCCCTAGAACAAAGCACTACACCAAGCTTTATGGCAAAGCAGTCACTGTTCGTTCCAACTGAACGTGGGTTGCACTGAATTCCTTATCTGTCTGCACACTGAAACTCTTGAAAAAAGCTCTCAGCCTATTTCCAGTGTTCGAGGGATCTTTTAAGTCCAGTAAGTTCCTGGGTTAGGCGTCTCAGGCATCTCTTACTTGCCTTTTAATGTTATGTAAATTTGCTCTCACTTGGAGATGACAGCATGAAGCACTCCTCTTAACAAATCCTTCCTCCTCAGTGCTCCACAGGCAGTTCAAGCCTCCTCGCCCCACGTTAAAGCTAAAGCTACATAAAAACTGCACATATCTGTTTTACCTGTTCCAATTTACCTACAAACCCAAGTCAGATACACACATCCGGATTGATCCGTCTCGTAACTTGGGGGGCTGCCTGCATCAGTAACAGAGCAGTGGTACTCACTGGAGCACGTAGGATTTTCCCAGAGGCCAAGACAATCTGATGTGTTTCCTAAACTGATTGCTGGATTACCTGTGAAGCACAGCTTGCCTCTCTCCAGGGAGCAGGGCAGGGCTTGTGTGCAATACACATCAGCACTGTGGAGCCCTTGAGTGTCTGATTCTGCTGGCCTTGCTAGAAAGGTCTATGGGATCTGAAGCCACAAAATCCTTTCTTTGCTGAGTGCTCCAGCTTGGCAGAGAAGGAAGGGCAGGAACTCTCGACTTGGGATTTGCTGTCTGCAAACTCAGTTGAACGTGCAGCTCCTGACGAAGGTCCTCCAGCCAGAAATGAGGACATTCCTCCGTCTGCAGAAGCATGCCAAGTGCAGGAAGTCATGCCAATCACCGATAGGGAACTTCCAGACAACAGAAAGTGACTGGCATGAGTCAAAACTTGAAAACCTTTTTCTGGGTCTGGGTCAGTTCTTTCAAAATTGAAGGGCAGGAAGAAATGAAAAGAGAAGGCCCAGCTGAGGGAATAAACACCAAGACGAGAGGTCATGGTGGCGTCTGTAGAGCAGACGCTGAGGATTCCCACAGAGAGCTCACCTTGGCACCTCCCCTACTTTCTTCCCCCACCAAGTCCACCTAAAGACGGAAAGATGCTCATCATGGAAAGGATCTGATCTCTCAACTGTCGCTGGGGCTCTTCTCAATCAGAGGTCATTCAAGAGTCCCAGGTGCCACCTGCTCGAAGGGCAGAAATCTTGGCACAGGTGCAAAGGGCACATGAGCCACCTGCCAGAGCACCTGACGCAGGCTTTTTCTTCTCAGCTCTCTGAGGCCTCCTTGAAAACAACAGGTTTCTGTTCCACTGCTCCCTTTAAATAACACACAAGCCCTTATGTCTAGGAACATAATACTGCAGAGCAATGTTAACTCAGTGTCACAATTTGGGGGCAAACAGAGCACCAACGTGCCAGCATCGGTGGCCAAGTTTTTCTTCCTCTCTGGTTAACGTAGGAACTCACGCAGCGAGCGCTGGGGCCCTTTACATTCTCATCCACCGACTGAGGAGTCTTAGTCACTTGCATTCCTTTCTATGGCATAAACCATTCTAGAATTGTGGCTTTAGCCTTGCATTTAACATAGTAGAGGGAGAAAGTCTTAACTCCTCTCAGTTGTCTGGGCCAGGACTGGGTTCAAGCCTGTTGTCCTAGAACAATTATTAGACATGGCCTTTCTATCTCAAAAGGGACCTGGTGTGGATGATAAACTGCGTGTTCATGTGTCCCCCTAATCATAGGATCTGTTCAAGAGTTTCCCTTCATCACACTTTCTGGAATGCACTTTCTTTCCTTATCCATATGGCAAAAATGATGTGTTCTCATGATTCAGCTGTAAAATCTCCTTTTTGGTGAAATCAGCACCAACAGGCCTGCCTTTCTCACACTGAAGATGGCTTTATTCCCTCCAGGATGACCCAGAACACAGACTTCCTCTAGCAGTTACAGCATAGCATGCCAACAACCGTCATGTCTATGCATCCCCTAATACAAGCAAAGAATTGAAAATGTAGCCCATTGACCTCTGAACTCCTTAAGCCTCGCCTGAGGCCTGGCAGCCTGTACTTGTACAATACTTTAAGAACGGATATTCCGAGTCTTAATGTGTCACAGTTCAAGGTTGAGCTACTGTGGTTGACATCTGGGTGGAAGCTCTGCTATTCCTCCCCCAGGTAAACCAGGGCCCTCTCTGTGTAACATGAGGGTTCACAACTTGAAAAGACATGTGGATGGCTGGAGGAATGGTGCTATGATCCGTAAGTCAATGACTGAACACAGAAATGAAAATCTAATGTCATTTCCATTCCAGTGGTATGACCATCCTTTAACTCGTACACACTGTCATTTACTCTCTGCAGGTTTGATAACGACCCGTCCCCACTTCAACTGCACCTCGGCGCCTCCTCTCTGCTGACCTCCCCTGCTCCCTCTGTTGGACTGTGTCATGTTCCCCTGCTCCCTCTGTTGGACTGTGTCATGTCTTACATTCTTTTGGTTCTCATATACTGTCACATTGTTATTAGATTTAGTTTTGTCTAATTCAATTAGAATTAAGGAAAATAATATTTCTAAGTATATGTAAGGTGTAAAGAATCATGAGGCAATGAAGGTCTCTTTTTAAACAAGGAATATAATTACTTTTTCCTGTGCTTACAATGGGTAATTATAATCTTTAACTTTTTAAATTTCTTTAATTTCTGCATAATTTTATTATTATTATTATTATTATTATATTAGTGTCTTCAAACAACACCATTCTACTTTTTTTATTTTATAGAAATGTGATTCTATTCTATGGATTCTTCTGAGTTCCTTTGTTTGTTCAAAATTATGACTCCACAACAGTTGGGGCAACCGAAACCCATTAATTTTAACTATTCCTTGTGTTTCTGTGAACATACCTTTGTCCATTTCTGGACGTTCACGGAGCACCCTAGATCCCGGATCACAAGGCGTGGGCACACCCAGTTCTCTACAGTGACTACTTTTCACGACTTTCAATCCATTTCACTTTCCTACCAAGGCTGTACGTGGCTTCTATTTGTTCCACATCTTTCCCACTCACATTGTCAGTTTAGTAAATTTCTGTCACGGCTCCAAGCTTGAAAGAATGGCATTTCAGTTTAATCCTAACATTTCTTCTTTCCGATGAGATGGATGGTATTTTGGCATGTTTCTTGAACACGGGGTTTTCTTCTCTTTTCCTTACAAGTGCCGACTTAAGTCTTTTGCTAATGTTTCTTTGTTTTTAAATGATTATTTGTTTTTAAAAAGTTTATGGGAACCTTTTAAGTATTCTGAATAAGTAACAGTTTTCCAAAGATTACATATTAAAAATATCTTCTCCCAGTTTGAAGTTTATAATCTTACTTAGCATATTCTGAAGAGTTCCTAAATATTAATGAAATTAAATATTTTCTTTTACGACTTGTAATTTTTCTTTTTGATTTAGGAATCCCCCTTTCAAAGTCATAAATACTTTTTCTTGATTTTTTGTTCTGATTATTGTACATTTTTAGGTGGTTTATCTAGTGTTGATTTTTGTATATGCAGAAAAGTAGGAGCCTGATTATACTTTTAGTCATATAGATAATCCAACAAATATCTTTCTAACTCTCTTTTCTTTTTAATTTGAACTTCTCTTTTTCTAGTTTACAAGAAAAAATTCTTTTTCATATGTTTTTGGTTAGTACCATCAATTTTTATTTGGAATTAGTAACATTTCCTTCTTATTTGACAAATTGTTGATACCTGAGATGTGCAAATGGCTTCTTGTCCAACTGCTCACCTAGAGATCAGTGGTTCAAATCCACTCAAGAGTACCACGAAAGAAAGGGCCTGGAAGCCAGCTTCCATAAAAATCACAGTCAGGGAGGACTTACGAATGAGGTCTACCTTAAAAAAGGGTTGATGGGGTCACCTTGAGCTGGGATCAACTCTCTGACCAAAGGGAGGACTTTTTGTTTGTTGACATACCAAATGTTCTAGTATCTCAGATCTTTACCAGAGATCACTTTTTCTCTGTGTAAAGTACATCTTTGAGCATTTCCTTTGGTGAAAGTCTGCTGGAGATAAACTTCAGTCTCTCTCTGCATGAAAACCAATTATTTCTCCAAAATATAAACTTGACAGCTAATTTCTCTAATCGTGTTGATACTATATTCTGTCTCCTATTCTTTGAATTAATGTCCTACCACTATATCATGATAATTATAGATGAGGTTTTATTTTTACTGATAATGCCTGGAAATTATCAAGCTTCCTCAATATGTAGCTTGATATATTTTAATTAGTTCTGGAAAACTATTTTCCTCCATGCACCTGCACTCTCTCTCATTTTCATTCCTAGGGTCCTCCCTCTCTCCCTTCAAATTATTCCCTCACTTCTATTTTGAATTTCACTAATTCTGTCTTCAGTTGTGTCTTATCTCCTATTAAAACCATTCAACAGCAAAGCCTGGGAAAGGCATTTTCTTGTTTCTTTTAGTCTTTTGAGGAAATACAGTTCAGTCCCTTCCACATAAATAGCAGGAAGTACCATTTGGGTCCAAGGGATTTTTTCTGGAAGGTGTTCTTGGGTTAGATTAGCCACTTGTTTGGGCCTAATTCTTGTACGGCTACTCTGAAGTCAAACCCCCAAATTCCAAGGCACCACTTCAGGTAGTTCTGCATGATGCAAACCATCCTTAGTTTTCAGTTTCTTTCTTCAAGTCCCAAACCTAACTCAGTGCTGAGCTTTGAGTCTTGTTTCTTCCCTTATAGTTGGCTGATGCATTTTAAAACGGCAAGTTAACAAAAGGTTTTATTAGAAATTTTTAAGCCTTTCAACAGGATGGTAAATCAGAACATTTATTTTTCAATACTGCTATGAATAGAAATTAGACACTTAGCTTTCCAAAAATACCCAGAAACAGGAACTGCATATTTAGCTTTTCAAGAACACAGCTACCTCCTTATAATTCTCATTCTATTCTGTCTAAAAGCTCTTTGTATAACACTATTGCGTAAGTATTTGTTGACTATAATGAAAAGACTATACACATGATTTTAAATCAACAAACCTGATGTGTGGTTTTGGGTCTCCTCTAACTTCACAGCTGAGCTTCACTTTTTTCTCCTCAGAATCCAGTGGGAACATTACATGACTTGGCTCTTGAACAAAAACAGGGCCATGCATTGTATGGTCATCTGAAATAATAAGAGAAATATTCAACAATGAAGAGTGTTTATCAAATAGGAAAACCAACAGGAAACAGCACCAAAATAAGAAAAATAAATGACCAAGAAGCAATAACACATCACAGATTGAGTTTCACCTCTGGATTAAATTTCCCATTGACTATCATTCATTTCCTATTATTACGAAGAAGAGACAGGCTCTTTTACGTCATATTGAAGGCTTCTTTTACTAACAGCATCCACATACAGACCAGCCGAATAGCACTCCCTCTCTTCTATTTCTTGTTCCTTCTGTCTATAGACTACCTTTTTACAAAAATACTATGTATCTATATTTATCTATCAAATGTTGTTGCCATTAATGCCGCCAAGTTAACTGTGACTTGTAGATATGTATCTATTGAATGTTGTCGCCGTTACATGCCACCAAGTTAGCTGTGACTCACAGTGACTCTGTGACAATAGATTAGAACCTTGTCCTGTTCTCTGCCTTTATCATTATTCTCCACTCTGCTCAGGTCTATTGTTACAGTCACTGTGTCAATCCACAGACCATCATGCTGAAAGTATTCCTCTCTTACCCTGACCCTCACCCTGACCCTCCATTTTTCTCAGGATGGTATCTTTTCCCAGGAATTGGCCTTTTCTAACAATGTGCTCAAAGTATCTGAGGTGAAGTTCCACCTTTCTTGTATGTGTGTTGTTGCTGCTAAGTGCCATTGAGTCGTAGGCAAGTGATAGTGAACCTATGAATGAAAGCCCTCAACACTTGTGTGACTTTCATCCTCTCTCTAGGTTCACAGAGTTTCCGGATGCCACTCCTGCTTCCAAGCTTGTTTGAATCGGGGAGCTCCACCAAACACTGTCCACCATGGGTAACCATTATTGCATTTGACACATCAGTGTCACAGTGTTCAGCTTCTCAGCAACCACGAGTTACTCGTTAGTTCTGGTGGCAAGAAGTTGCGCCGCAATCCCTGAACACATGCCACTTGAGGCCACTAGCTGCTTCAAAGAAGAAGGATAGGCGATCTCCTCTCGTGTGATTAACTGCCTTTGAAAACCTGCTGGAGTCAATTATGAGTCAGTTTTCTGACTCTATGGTAAACAACAACATATATGAATAAGGATGAAAGAAAAACTGATGCTGTTAAATTGTGGTGTTGGTGAAAAGCACTGAATATTCAAGGGCTGTCAAAAGCACACACAAGTCCGTCTTGGAAAAAATGCAGCCATGGTGTTCCTTAGAGGCAAGGACAGTCTCACATACTCTGGGCAAGTTGTCAGGAGGGGAGACACCTTGGAAAAAAGTTGGGAAAGGTGAAGGGTCATAGAAAAAGAAAGACCCTCAACAAGATAGATTGACACAGTGACTGTCACAGTGGGATTGAGCGTGTGAGAGATTGTGAGGTTGATGTAAGATAAGACAAGGTTCAGATCTGCCCATAATAATCTCAACATAGATCTATGTCTGTCGTACTCCATAGGAAGTTGTGCTGTGTGCACATGATGCATGGTCATGGTCTCACACACACAGTAAGAGTGAGAGTGAGCCACTCCAAGGGAAAAAAATGGCTAATCTCCTCAAGTAAAGCATCCCACGGACGGCCAAAAGGACAAACAAATACGTCTTGGAGAGGATGCAGCCAGAGTGCTCTTTAAAGGCAAGGATCATGAGGCTTCACCCTTCATACTTTGGGCATGTTGCTTGTGGGGGCTATTCCTTGGAGATGGACATGCTGCTTGGAAAGGTGGTGAGTCGGCGAAGGAGAGGAAGACCCTCAACCAGGTGAACCGACACAGTGACTGCAATGGGCTCTAGTGTGTCAGGAAGTGCAAAGACGGCACAGAACAGGACAGGGTGCAGACCTGCTCTTCACAGTGTTGCTACGAGTTGTACTTGACTCAACGGCATCTAACAACAATACCATACCAACCTTCCTTCCTGCTCTCCATGAATTGTTCTACATAAAGGACTTCAACAAAGAAAATACAAAACAAAAGGATAGATAAAATTATATTATCAAACAGCCCCGGTTTGTGGCCAGCTATTTAAAAATCTAGGTATTTGTTATTTTGTTGTTGTTATGTGCCATTGAGTCTCTTGCGACTCATAGCGACCCTATGTATAATATCCCTGAAACCTGCTCTGTCCTATGCCAACTTTACTGTCTCTGACATACCTATCCTCATCACCCCTGCAATTTGCAAGGATAATATTTTCACAACCATGATACTGGTTGAGGGTTAGCTATTCAACTAGAAAGAATTAAATGAAGTATTAGCATATTTAGTTCACTAAAAAGTATCACTAACACAGCAGCAAGTTTGGTAGGGTTTTTTTAAAGAGAGAAATATTTCTATTGTCCCCCATTCCAAAATTATTATGTGTGTATATATAATATCAATCATCTCAATTCATTGGTGTTCCCTGATTTGAATTTCATACAGAAAGGCAGTCTATTACTAGTAATTCTAAATAAGAATAAAACATAATAATGATTACCCAGGATGCAGCTGAGGCTGTGGATTAACATCTGTACTATCTCAGTGTACCCCTGCCATATTTAAATAACAAAAAGGATATTTTTTTCCTGTATATTTTCTAACAAGAACTGATAATAATTATGCTTTGCATCTGCTATAAATAACACATTTCATTCAAAGGGGTTTTTTTTTCGCCCTTGGTTGACCAAACTCGCTGCCTGGAAATTAACAATTGCATAAAGGGAACAGTATTTCATTTGTCAATCTACAGTTGAAATTTTCTACATGAGCTACTTGGTTTTCCTAAGCATCAACGGAGAGATTTTGGAAAATTTCATTACCTGGGAATGAAAACCAAATTATAGGAGTTTATAAATCTTTCGACTACGGAATCTGAACATTTTAGGGGGAAAAAGTTGTTCTAATTCTCTAAAACCTTGAGGCACGTGGGAGAGAGGGTGAGCTGAGAATAATGATGGATGAAACCCAGCGGGAGGCTTGAACCACTGAGCCCCCTCTCTGTGTGAAGCAGCCACAGTCTTTCAAGTGTCTAGAAGGCACTTTTTAAAAAATCTTACCTGGGCCGTGTTTTAAGCCTTGGTAAGAAGGTTTACCTTTCCTCTCATCACAGGAAGTTGGTCTATGTAATCATAGGAGTGGTGGCCACAGTGTTCAGCCTCAAAGATGAAGTCATTAAGCAACCTACAGAGAAGCATGATTTCCCAATCCAACAGCGCTCAGAGGCAGGATGTGGGCCACCAGGCTCAGCGTCACCACTCACGCTTTGTTTTAAATCCTGGATGAGACATTTGTTGTATCAGAAGAACCTGGAACCCAAGAGCTGTCTTTAACCCAGCTCTGTGGGTGACCACTTTAGATACTAAACTTTGAGAAACACTATCACAGACTCTTCTGTTCTTACCTCCCATTTCCCAAGGGCAGAATGTCAACCAAATAACATTAGGGGATTCTACTTCTTGAATTCTCTGGACAGAGTCCAACCAAGAGATCTTGGCTAGAAAATATTTAGAGAATTCATTTTATCACAAGTTTGGTCGGACTCATAATGGAAAGGCACGCATAAATGTTGTTGCTGTGTACTGCTGAGTCAGAAGCAGTGGCCTTTCAGAGGCTGTCAACTGCCCAGGAGGAAAGTGCTTATTGTTCTCCCCTGGAGCAGTTCGTAGATTTGAACCATGAGTCTTTGAAATGACAGCACAGATCCTTTCCACTAGACAAAGAGGAGAAAATGATAAAACAAAACAGAAAACAAATCTGACTCATACAAAGAAAATGAACCGATTTACCAAGCTCTGATTTTAAATGAGAACCCTTAAAAACGAAACTGAATTGACAATGGAGATAAAACCTTTGAAAGATCCCGTAGTCCATTGGCCTGCATTACAGCCTATTCTCACTTGATTACATGGTGTTCATGTTTATGTTCATGCTCTTGTTCATGTGACAGGTTGTTGGAACTGATACACTTGCTTTGAATCCCAAAGTCACCGAGTCTCTCCTGCTCTGGGGAACAGGCTCACAGTGTCATTCGGGGCCTCTCAGTGTAGTGGTCAGGAGACAATACCATTCTCAGGGCTTCTCTCAAAGTCAGCAAGATAAAGGAGTGTTGCTTGAAACATTTTAGTTACCAAGGCTGCTCTACCAAAAACACCACAGAGATGGTGCCTTTACCGCTTTTATTTATTCCTCTCACGGTGCTGGAGCCTAGACTCCAGAGTTCAGGGCCCACGCAGGGCCGGCCTCCTGCCCGCTCTACCAGAAGGAACTTGCCTTGTCTCTTCCCAGCTCTTGGCTGCGTGGTCCTGATGGACTTTAGGGGCAGTTAGTCAATCCCCACACAGCCCTGTGTGCCCTCCTCTTTGCATCTTCCCTCTTCTGAGATCCCAATCAGAAGGGATTATGACTAGAAGACACCTTCTCCCAGGACCCATTCTGATATGACTTAACATTTCCAAAGAAAGATTGATTTCACAACAAAAACCAAGGCCACGTTGAGGACAGTACTTCACCCTCTGTTGCTGAGGAGAGTATGATTCAATCTTTAACACTGACACAGCTTTCTGCACCCTGGACACCTGATCTGAGCCCCACCTGGGGGCTGAGCGAAGCTGCAGGTACTTGCTCATTCCGACTGCCTGGCTTCCTTCCCTGTCAAGACCGTGTTCCAGTCAATCATGGGCTCCCTTTTCCCACAATGCAGGCGCTCCCTAAAGTTCCAATCCACAAAAATACTTCCGCACTGATTTACCTGAGTAACTTTCACCTTTTGTTAAGACTTAGGTTAATAAATGCCCCCTTTCATGTTTAAACCAAGAGTAACAGTCTTTCCATTTTCAGAAAATAGGGAGGATTTCATGACCAGAAACCAGGACTTCAAATCAGTTCTAACCATTTCTATCATGGCAGATAAAGAGAAATGAGAACAGGACATAATTTTAAAAAATTCTGATGAGGGTTACACACTTTGGTGGGTGGAGGGAGGGGTGAAGGAAATAGGAAGG